ATTTTATTAGTTTTTTTTTTTTAATTAGGAATCAGTAGTGCTGATCATAGAATCTGCAGCAATCTCAAGTGTACCTAGGTTTAAATAAACATTCAGAACCTTCAGTCTCAAGGGGCAATAATGGCTGTTCAGCACCTACTCACTCAAAAGGCTATAGGGTGGGGACCACAGTTTGCCTGAACAGTAGCAATAAGCACTCCTCTTCAACTGAACTCCTCATGAAGCATCACAGCTCGGGTACAAGGTGAGAAACCCTTCACACGGGTGTGAAACTGCTCTGGTTTAAGAGCCTCATGCCCCTCAGGAGCCAACATCTCTTGTGACAGCACCATAGGCATAGTGTCCAAGGTCTGCGAGGGACATGTCCAGTTATGAGTCGCTGAACTTAGGTTGGTCCAATACTATGGTTTGCTATCAGGTATATTAGGTTCTCTCTGTCTAAATGCAGTTTACCAATTAGGGGTCCATTTTTACCAGCAACATAGCTACATAGTTCACAAACCACCTTATCACGTTGCCAGGGGAACAGAACTAGAAAGTTAACATAAGGTCACATTCTCATGTGGAAGGGGAAAGGGATTTGTTAACTCTTTGCTCACATAGAGGATTTCTGTCAACTTGATTGTAATAGATTATTCTAATATATTCCCAGATTATGCTTGCTGACCAATTAGTTAGAGCTTTTGCATTGATATTTGTTTCTGAGATGAGCTGTGTATATGTGTGCATATTACACATAGGAGAAGGCTATTTTTTTCAGGTTTGAATATCATAGACTTATTAGGAATAATTTTTAAGCATTCCTTTTTTGACATTTTAGAAGAGTTTAAATAGTATTGGAATTAACCATTATTTGAAGGGATGGCATGCTCTGATTGCAGTAGAACCATAGTTGCTGTGTGTAGGGTGAAAAACATAACATTCATTCTTCTATTTTTAAAAATTATTATCTGTGATCAATTGGAAGGCACAACATATATCCAGATAAAGTAGATACTGTTGTAAAAAATAAAAATTTTGCTCATTCCTTGTTGCTTTTAGTAAAGTATCTTAAGAAAGAGATGAATTCAGGCAAGAACTGGCTACTTTGCAAGCAGAAATGAAAGAAAATGAGAATGTCCAGAAACTTTGTCCCTTTCCCCCCCAGACTGAAAAGACAACTGCTTTTATGCTCCAAACATTAATATAGACAAAGGGATCCAAGTCTTGTGGCAAGGATCAGAGTAAGTGTGTTGCCCTCCCAAACAACCCTATTATCTCAGCTAACCTCAAGGTGGCCTCCATTAAGATGAAAGAGTAAGGTATGGACTCATAGAAGCAAAGAAATAAAGCAGGCTTACAAACTAGGACTAGAAAAGACTTTGGGTACGGTTATCTGCACAAAGAACTGACTGGAAGCAATTAGATCAAAAGCCTATTAGAGTTTTAAGGAAATCTTGTAGCCACAGAAACCATGAGTCTGGCCTGAAAATGTCTGTCTCTGTTACCTCCTTAAAGAAACACTCAGGACTTTAAATTTGTACCAGTAGAAAAAGAACTGTAAATGATACACAGCCCCCAAAGAAGGCATATGCTCCAACAGTCGCTTCTGATGTGGCTATGCAAGATTAATGGACAAAGTAGTAGAAGCAGGGGTGACCTGATTGTCTGACCAGAGCAGGAAAGCTCCATAATTCTTGCTTAGCTGGGAGTCAAAATTGCTGTGAACGAGCAGCTATGTGTTCCTCATCCCTCTTTTTTAATATGAGTTTTTAAAGCAGTAATCCTGTCCCTGGGCCACCACTGCATATGGGATATGTGGAACAATAGCTTGCTTAACAGTTAGCGTGACAATGACTAAGAAAACTTGATAGAGAAGTCACATTTCTCCCCCCCTGTCCAGACGACACCCCCATCCCACACCCTAACTTCATTCAGTCTCTGCTCATGTCACCACCCCATCACTCCACCTAAAATCATACCCCATCTATCACTTTCTCCTTCCTTTACCCTCTTTACACCTTTATCTTGTCTTCATAACACTTACTGTCTTGCTCCCCCACTGAAATGTAAGCTCTTTCAGGGAACGACTCTGTTTTGTTCCCAGCTGGAGTCCTAGCACCTAGAAGTGGCCAATGCATTGTAGGTTCTCAATAAATATTTATGAAGAAAAAAAGACTAAATAATTAAGAGCTGTTTGAAGTCGTGTTTGTTTGGTTCTATTTTGTTGTTTATCTGTATTGCATTGTGACCAGTGATAATTATTTGTGTGAGAGAAAATTGGAATTACTACTTCAAGGTGGCATTACTTGGTATGAAACCTAAAAAGGTTGTCCTACTGGAAAAGTACACATATTGCTAAAAGTAAGTTATTTTGATTTGGTTCTTTTTTGTTTGTTTTTAAGCCTGAGATAGTGAAATGTCACTGCCATTGAAACTCTACCCCTTTTTTGGAATGATCACTGGCAGGCATAACTGCAGCATGCTAACAGTTAGACCTTGGAATTCCTTTAGAGTCTCCTCATTCCATGATTCTACAAAAATGGATATAATTAGCTACAGCTCACTCAAGGGAGAAGCTAAAGTTCACCAGGCAGAACCTAATTCAATCTGTTTAATATTTGCTGATTTTAAGCATTGTGCTGGGCACAAGGGATAGAGTGACAATTGCCTCACCCTCCTATTGGCCTCTCAGGAACCCAGAGTGGCAGAGAAGCAATGTAATACAGTATATCCAGAGTTACTTCAGGGTATGTATAGATGAGAAGTACATTCCACAGGAGGCTCAGCCAAGCAAAGCTTCAAAAGGCTTCCCTGGTAAGTGTCAGCTAAGCTTGGACCCAAAGGGTAAGTGGATAGTGTCCAAATGAAGAAGATGAATAAAGTGTTTTCTGGGCCAAAGATATGGAAAGAATAAGAGGCATGCAGATGGGGCATTGCAATTTTGCTCTGGATAGTTGTCCTATTTTCACCCACCACTTTTCTTCCTTTCCTTCCATCCTCAGTTTTTAGCCTTTAGGTTAGCACCTTCTCCCTAATCATCCATTGCTCTGGTGAGGCTTATTTGCAAATCCAATCCAGGAACCAATAAACCAAGAAAATGGCTAAAGAGTAGCCACTGGAGCCTAGAACAACACCCACATTACACTTACAAAAACTTGATTTTCTGCAGAAAAAATATTTTGATTCCTACATTTTTGGACTTCATTAGAAAGATCTGAAATGGATGACACCAAGCTGTTTGCCTAAAATAATGTCCTAAGCCTGAATTGGCATGGCTATTTGCTGAGATAAAAATAGAAACTTGTTTTGCTAACAGAAAACAACTTGGAAATCAAAGAGTCATTTAAGTCAAAACCAGTATTTTTCTTTTTCTCGCAGAAAATTCCTATTTTTATACACACTAAGAGATCAGGATAGTGAGGTCACTGCCACAGAACTTTCCATTAAAAATCTTTAGTTGAGAAACCTCAAAAAGAAAACAAAGATGGGGGAAAATCTTTTAACAAACTCATTCAATAAACGTTTCTGAGCACTTACTACGCAGTAGACACTGTTTTAGGCAATGAAGAAACTCGCCCTTCTAGAGTTTGCAGAAAGAAGACAAACAAAGAAGAAATAAGCACACTATATAGGAAACTAGAAGATTAGTGATCTGGGGAAAAGACAAAGTAGAACAGGCAGAGGACATCAGAAGGGGGCCGGTAGCAATTTTAAATAGGTGGTCAAGGTAGATCTACTTAAAGAGGTGACATTTATGCAAAGACGGAAGGAAGTGAGAATGTGACCAGGCAGACATCTGGGTCCAGGCAGCAGTAACAGTCGGTCAGGTGGCTCTAAAGTTGGGACATGCCTGGAGTGTGAGAGAAAGCAATGAGGTCACGGACTAGGGGAAGAAAGAGGATATAAGACTGGATCTGAGGTTTGGGAGATGGCAGGTCATTACCCTGGGGAGTCGTGCAGGGTAGGTTTTGGGAAGAAGAGTGACTCGATTGGACTGATGTTTTAAACGTACGTATTAGGAAAATCACTGTGTTTTTATTTGAACAGTCCTTTAGTATAATACGTTTTACTCTGCCACAACAGAGCAATAATTGATTAAAATGGTTTCTAAATGATCTCCGCAGGATCAGGCACCAGAAGACTGCTAAATAGTAACAGCCCTCTCTCCCTGGCGGGCATATGCCCCTGCAAGCGCAGCCTTCGCTATCCTATGTGCTTGGAGTTGAATTGGCAGAGATAGAAGCAGTCTGCACGTTTCTTCTTCAAAATTCGACTGCAGAGCTAAACATTTCTTTCTGTTGGTTACAAAATAAAAAATATGCCTTTGCCAACTCTGCGGGAGAAGCAAACTCCCGGAGTTTGCCTTTGCTAATATGTCCAAGTCGTGCTGTGGTTTCACTAAATGCAGACGCTGCTCTGCTTGCTTCTGCCCCATAAACCTCTCTGGTCTTGGACTTCTCCGCACTCCGGTGACAACTACGGCTCGCCCCTGCGGTCACCACCTGTTCGGGCGGAACCCGCTGAGCACGCACCTACGCCCCGGGCCCCTTTCCTCCCCGGCTCACCCTTT